CTTGATTTCGTCCTTGACTTTGTTCCTGACCCACTCTTTGTTCAGCATTGAGTTGTTTAATTTCCAAGTGTTTGATTTGGTTCTCTGTGTCTGTGTGTGATTCACTTCTATTCTCAGTGCATCATGGTCTGAAAAGATGGCTGGTACTATTTCTATCTTCCTGATTCTTTTGAGATATGTTTTGTGTCCTAGCACATGGTCTATTTTGGAAAATGTTCCTTGCGCATTGGAGAAGAATGTGTATTCTTTCTTTTTGGGGTGTAAAGCCCTGTATAGGTCTATAAGACCTCTCTCTTCTATTTCTTCTTTCAAAGCCAGTGATTCCTTGCTGGGTTTTGTTCTTATTGATCTGTCCAGAGGTGATAGGGCGATGTTGAAGTCTACAGGTACTATTGTGTTGCTTGCAGTGTCCTCCTTAAAATCTTTTAGCAGTTGTTTTAAATATTTAGCTGTTCCCTCATTAGGTGCGTATACATTTAAGAGTGTGATTTCTTCCTGTTGTACATATTCCTTGACGAAGAGAAAATAGCCTTCACTGTCCTTTCTAGTCTTTTTCAAGGTGAAATTAATGTTGTCGGATACTAGTATGGCCACCCCAGCTTTTTTGCAGGAGCTGTTTGCTTGCAGGATGGTTTTCCATCCTTTGACTTTGAGTCTGTGTTTGCTCTGAGTGTTGAGATGAGTTTCTTGTAGGCAGCAGAATGTTGGTTTCTGTCTCTGTATCCATTTTGCCACTCTGTGTCTCTTTAATGGTGAATTTAGACCGTTGACATTGAGAGAGAGTATGGTTATGGGGTTTTGTATCATCTTTCTGTGCGGGTGTGTTGTGGTTGTAGGGTTTGTCTTGTCTTATAGTAGCCCCTTTAGCCCTTGTTTTAGGTTTGGTTTTGACTTGATGACTTCATATCTGAATTCTTTGTCAGAGAGGGCCCTATGGTGGCTAGCACCTACTGAGGCTTCTGGTCTTGTTTCCTGGTCGTCTCCCTGTGGCGGGGATTTGCGTTGTTTCTTCATGTTGTTATGTAGGTGTAGGGGTTAGATTTCTTGGTTTGAGTAAACTACTTGTGGCCACGCAGGCCCAAAATTAAGCCACGCCCACTTTTTAAAAGCCATGCCCACTTCTAAAGTGGCCACAATGCCATGGATACCTGGTGTGTGTCCGGGGAGTAAAGAGAGGCAGAGAGGCTCAGATCTGTTTTGTCTCCCGGTGTCCGGGGGACGCCTCAGGGCTTGCACAGTGAAATCCAAGTCCTGGGTTCGAGAAGCGGCGGGATAACTGACCTGGGTGGGTGGGGAAAAGAGACCCCCTCGCCTTCGGCGGCGGAAAGGGAGAGGCAGAGGGGCTCAGATCTGCTTTGTCTCCTGGCATCCAGGGGACGCCTCGGGGCTTGCATGGTGAAATCCAAGTCCCGGGTTTGAGAAGTGGCGGGAAAACTGACCTGGGTGGGTGGGGAGAAGAGACCAGCTCGGCTGGGGCGGTGGAAAGGGAGAGGCAGAGATGCTCAGATCGACGCCTCGGGGCTTGCACCTAAATTTTTTTTAATACTTAGATTTTATTTTTACTTAAATGAAAGTTTGGGTATAAATAATTTAAATGAAAGGACTCAAGTCAACTTTTGCAGCAATTTTGAATGCCAAATTCTAGATTTGTATAATTTTCCCCATCATTGATGTCTTCAGTTGTCTTGTTTCTATATAGTTTAAAATAAAACAATATATATATTTAAATTTGGAGGGATTTTGGAGCTACACACTGGTGGTGATAAGGGGCTATTTCTGGTTCTGTGCTCAAGTGTGGTGCTTGGGATTTGAACTGGGGTTTGCAGATAGATGCAAAGTTTTTTATGGTGGCTTACCATTGCCATAGAAATATTACTTATATCACTTGTAATCCTGTTGAATATCGATTTGCTCAAGTGGGTGCCAGTAATATCTCCATTTGTCCCTGTCGTGTGCTAGTGTAGCCCATTGGCTCTGCTCGCTCCAGGAATAAACCGTTCATTCAGAGTTTTGACGAAGCCTGACCATCTAGTAGGTAGGTGGCCACACATCCTTTTGATGTCCTGTGGAATCCAGTTGATAACAGCTCTAGTCCAGTAGTCATCTCTAAATCGCATTACGTCGTCTGGCCCACCCTGATTTTTGACACCTTGGCAAACGAGGCAGCATCCCTGATTCTTGATTGTAGCCGGAGATCAGAACTGCAGATTCCTTCTCTCACTTGAGTGAAACGTGATATTCTAAGCATAGCTCTTTCAATTCCTCACCATAGAAATAACACTGTCACTGTCACTATCCTCTTGGTGCTCATCGATTTACTCGAGTGGGCCCAGTAATGTCTCCATTGTGAGACTTGTTGTTACTGTGTTTGGTGTATTGAATACGTCAGGGGTAGCTTGCCAGGCCTTGCCTTGCAGGCGTGATACTCTTGGTAGCTTGCTGGGCTCTCCGAGAGGGGCGGAGGAACTGAACCAGGTTTGGCCGGGCCAGCTGCGTGCAAGGCAAACGCCGTTACGCTATCGCTCCAGCCAGAAATAACTCTATTATTATTTATATTTTTTAGTTTGGTTTATGTAGTATTTAATTAAGATACATACTGTGTATTTTGTGATCATACTAGTTCACAGCCAGTGAGAGCAGGAGTGCTTCGTGATCAGTATGCTGCAGCTATTAGTTCTTTTATCTGGCAGAGATGGAAGTTGGCTGTGAGTTTCTACTATAATTATTTTTACCTCTTATCTTTCTCCTTTCATTTAATGTATAAACAAGAACCGCATACTTATTTCTTAGTTTTGTGTATCATTTATCTCTGCATAGTGCTATACTTTATAGATACTCAGTATTATTTATCAGATAAATGATCAAATTCCTATGTATATTAAAAATTTGAATAATCATAAAGAATGCAAGCTTTGGAATCAATTAGTTGAGCTAGATCATTGACCCTGGAGAAAACAGAATGGGGTTTGAAACCTTTCTAGTTTTGCATTCTTACACATTTCTTGTTTTCAATTGAGGAGTAGAGGATCACAATAACCTTTGGGTTGTGTGAGGATTAAATGGGAATGTAAAGTGTCTAGCACAGTGCTTGACATAGCAAGCAGTCGATAAGTGTTAATTGTCCTGATGATGCTTATCACTAATGAGGAGAATGTGGGAATTCACTAGTTCTAACTTTTCTCATCAAGAGATTTGAACCACATAATCTGCACGTGTACTCTCAGTCCTAAAATTCTCTTCTTATAAATAGTGTTTCATGTTTGGTCATATTTATATGACAAATATATGAATATTCTTGATTTGCCAAAGTTGTAGATTATCAATAAAGTAGGTAATTAATTAGGTGATCATAACCTTGCACCTTTATAAACAAATTCTTTGAGGCTGTAAAACATTTGTTGTCCTGGAAATGCTGACTGGTTCAGCACTTTTGGAAAACAATATGGATGATTCTCAAAACCTTAGAAATTGAGTTCCCATTTGACCCAGCAGTACCACTCCTGAGAATATATCCTGGAGAGGCAAAAAAGTACAGTCGAAGTGATATCTGCACTTGTATATTCATTTCTGCACTGTTCACAATAGCCAAAATCTGGAAAAAACCTGAGTGCCCGAGAACAGATGACTGGTTAAAGAAACTTTGGTACATCTACACAATGGAGTACTATGCAGCTGTTAGAAAAGATGAAATCATGAAATTTACATACAGGTGATACTACGTGGAAAGTATCATGCTAAGTGAAATGAGTCAGAAAGAGGGACAGACATAGAAAGATTGCACGCTTCTGTGGAATATAAAGTAACAGAAGGGGAGACAAACACCCAAGAATAGTTGAGATAAGTACCAGGAGGTTTGCTCAATGGCTTGGAAGCTGGCAACGTATGCTAGGAGAAAAGACAGCTCTGATAGAGAAGGGAACACCAAGTAAAAGTTGTTTAGAGGATGTGCTCGGGATGGGAGATGCGTGCCGAAAGTAGACTATAGACCGAACACAATGACCACCCATACCTCTATTGCAAACCACAACATCCTAAAGGAAAGAGAGAGCAAACAGGAATGCCCTGCCACAGAGGTGGGGTGGGGTGCGGTGGGGAAGATGGGGTTTGGGGGGTAATACTAGGTAGGGTTAATGGGATCATTGGTGGTGGAGAATGGGCACTGATGGAGGGATAGGTACTCGATCATTGAATAACTGAAACCCAACCACAAATGTTTGTATGTCTACATCAGTACCTCAAGGTGTTTCACTAATACCAATTAAATAAAAAAAAATAAATAAATTTAAGAAAAGAAAAAAGAAAAACATTTATTGTCAAGTCAGATTCTAATAATGTGTGAAAAATAGCTCAGCTCCTCTAAGGCTGTCAGAATATGTAAGAGCGAAGGTCAGAGGTAGAGAAATTCTGAGGAGGTTGTTTGGAAGCATTAGTTAAGGAGAAGGAAGATAAAACTAAGCTCCACAAACTAAGCATTTGGATAAACTAAATTTTTTTTTTGCGAAAATCCCATTAAAATATAACTAAAGATTTATGCTGTACTCATTATCACTTTTATTATTATAAAAAGATAGATGTGTATTTGTTACATATCTAGGTCTTAGGTTTTCAAGTTGCTCACATTTTCTTCCTGAGGGAGCAGAGAGATAGGGGGTAAGGCACGTGACTGGCTTCTGCTTGGTGACCCAGGTAACTGCACCGCAGTGTCTGAGCTGTATTGAGAGCAGCACTGCATTGAATCCTCTGGGCTCACATTGAACTGCTGGCCTAGTTGGCTGTGAATTGCCTGGAAGGGTCCCTGGACCTCCTGAGCATTGCTTGGAAGCCATTCCCCAGTCCCCCAAAAATGGGGACAGGGAAAAATACCTCTTTAAAACAATGAATCTGAGGCTATTTCCCACTTTATCACAGATTTTCATTTGTTGAAAGTGATAAGTGCATTAGCAGAATTCCTTTCATTATACATCCTACGTTAATGCTCATACTTTGTTTCTATGCTGCAGCTCTCATTTAATATGGAAGAAGATGAATTCTTTGGAGAAAAAACATTCCAATATCATTGTGCAGAATTTATTAAACATTCACAGCAGATAGGTGATGGTTGGGAATGGAGAACTTCAAAGGTAAGAATAGTTTTTATCTTATTTCATGGAGGTTTTTTTCTTTCTGACATTTGTAATGGAGATGAACATTTGAAAGCTAACTTGATTTAATACAAGACTAAAATTGAACAATATTTTAAAACAGATGTCCATTTTATTACTGCAACTATATTTAATCATTATAATTAAGTTTATTAGGTACTATCTAGAAAAATTCTTAGGTGACCTGCTTTAATTTAATAGATAAGAATGCTTAGCATATTACTTATCTGAATATAAACAGATGCATCTGTGGTGTTTCAAACCATTTGTTTATATTATTAATTTTCTTAGGAAGTTACTTTTGCCCAGAGAGTAAAATGATAACAAAAATCTTTGATAACGTAATTAAACACTCACAAAATCTGAAAAATTGAGAACTATGTTAATTGGGAGCTTCTTAACAATATAAATACTGTAGTACTGTAGAATCGTCCTCCCATTGTTTATTGATTTGCTTGAGTGGGCACCCGTAACGTCTCATAACAAATTGTGAGACTTGTTGTTACTGTTTTTGGCATATCGAATACGTCATGGGTAGCTTGCCAGGCTTTTCGGTGTGGGCGAGATACTCTCGGTAGCTTGCCAGGCTCTCCAAGAGGGGTGGAGGAATCGAATGTGGGTCGCTGTGTACAAGGCAAACACCCTACCAGCTGTGCTGTCGTCCAGTCCAATATAAGTACATTACTAAATATAATTTTCTTGGTTTTTGTTCAGTAATAATAATATAAAGAGTATGTACTTACTTGTTTTCTCACATACATTTAGTAAGGTTCATGGCCAAAAAAATTTCTGAGTTCCTTGAAATCCATTTCTTAGTAGTTTTTCTCCGTTTGACATCTGATTCCTGAAGAAGTGAGGAATCCTGAATTCTCTACTGATTGATTTTGTTGCCTGTACATATCTGAAAACTTGAAGGTTTCTGTACAGATTCTTATGTTTCAGAACCTAGCTGGGAAGTATAGTTCTTGATCCCATCCAGAGTGTCAGTGGAGAGAGAAGCCACAATTTCCTGTTAGTTTATATGCTGACTTTAAGAGGTGAATGCATAGAATGGTCAAGAAATGTAGGTAGGGTTCTTTTGTTTCTTTTCTTTTTTTTTTTTGCTTTTGGGGTTACATCCTGTGATACTCAGGGGTTACTCCTGGCTCTGCACTCAGGAATTATGCCTGGCAGTGCTTGGGGGACCATATGGGATGCCGGGAATTGAATCTGGGTAAGCTGTGTGAAAGAGAAATGCCCTACCTCCTCTACTTTTTCTCTATTCCTTATTTTTATACATATTAAAAAATATTTTATTACATGACTGAATATTATATCACAGTTTATTTTCTTTCATGTAATTTTTTTCTGTTCTTATAATTGGTCTTACATTCATTAATGACATGTAATTTACTTGGGTGGATTGAAAGTTATTTTTCCAAAGGATATTTAAATGTTTTCCTTTCTGGTTTTTTTTTTTTTTTTTTTTTTTTGGTAAACACATTTCACACTTTCCTGTTGCAATTCTCTGTCTAGATTTTGTTCAAACCCATATGACTTCTTGGGAGATGTTAACAGTTTTGAAAGATAAATGACTACCTAAATCACTCATTTTCTGTGGAAAGTATTATTCTATCATGCTTTATTTATTTTTCTGATATTTTCTAAGCTTTTCTTCTATTATACTTTGCCAGATTTTGTTATGGCATGCTATCTCTATGAAAATAGGATATGTCTGGAGAGATAGTGCCAGGGGTTAAGGCACTTTTCTTGCATGTGGCTGACCCCAGTTCAGTCTCCAGCACTGCACATTTTCCCTCAAGGATGCCGGGAGTGATTCCTGTGCACAGAGCCTGAAATAGCCCTTGAGCTTTGTGAGGTATAGCCCCAGGCCTCTCTGGTAAGGTTCATTTCTTACGGTTACCAGTGCAGCTCCACTCATTAAAGTAGTGGTTACATGGTTCATAACCTCCTAGTTTCATGCCATAAGATAACTGGACCTTACTAACATCTTTTATTAATTGAGTTTCTTTGCATTTAACCTGAGTATTGATATATCAAAGACTTGCTAAATCTGATCTATTAATTTGGCAACCAATCACCTTTCTGAATCCTCACTTTAGGTTTCATAATATTTTGATGATTTCTTTTGTGTGTTCCAAAGTGGAAGTTATCTACAAATAAAGTTTTTTTGTTGCTTTATTTGTATTATTTCTACTGTTTCATGAATGAATTAGAAAACTTAAGTAATAATCAAAGCACGTCTGATTGTCTTTAATATCGCTTAAATATTAATGTTTCTTATAATGATTGAATAAAATATCTATGATTTAGTCATTGACTATAGATTCTAAATTATTTTGACTTGTAATATTAGTATGGTTATGCCATGAGGACCCTCTCTTTTTACAAAGTTTTTTTTTCCAGAAAAAAATGATCTTTTATCTAAAGCTACATGTAACTTAGACTTATGACTTAGATTTACATATGACTTACATATGACTTAGATTTCTATTACCTATTCAGTGACCTAAGAAAATATGAGAGGAAAATGTAGTGAGGGAGATAAGAGAGAAAGAAGAGAAGAGAGAGAGACAGAGAGAGAGAGAGAGAGAGAAAGAGAAGAAGAGAGAGAGTGAGTTTGTTGGGGGGGGGCAGGATGTTGGGGGACATCTCCCTGAGGGAATTTATATCTTTAAAAAATTTCTTCATTGAATTCCTTGAATTCAGTGTGATACCCTCAAAACTGTTTTTCAGGATTTGTTTTCCTTCTTGAACTTGTCTTTACTTCAGGGATGTTCGAATAGTGAAGTCTATTTTCATGTTTGCTGATACTGCCTGCCAATTTAGGAAAATTCCTGCCCTTTGCCCTGAGAATTGTACCTCAGATCAAGGCCAGTTCTCTTTAATGTGGTGGTGAGCCCACAGATAGTATCAAAGCAAAACACCATTCAAAGAAAATTTTTGTCCTTAGAGCTAGAGAACCAAATGCTAATGCCTTATGGAAACCAGGCTTGGTCATGGTAATTGTAATGGGTCACACTGCCAGAGACACAATCCTTTGGGGACCGTGTTCTGACTCCCCTGCCTGGAGTGCTTGGCCTGTTTCTGGGTTGAAGGGATGGCCCATAGGTTACCAAAATGTTATAAGAAGAGTTGGGAGTTCCGGTGCGATAGTACAGTGGGTAGGGCATTTTCCTTGCATGCGGCTCACCCGGATTCGATCTCCGGCATCCCATATGGTCCCCCAAGCACTGCCAGGAGTGCAAAGCCAGGAGTAACCCCTGAGCATTGCTGGGTGTGACCAGAAAGAAAAAAAAAAAGAAGAGTTGGTTTGGCTGGAGAAATCTCTAAATTTTCAAGTGTTGGCAACTAATTTAAAAGGGACTCTCTCAAGCCAATCCCCACTCTCCCAACACACTCATACATACATATACTCAGTGAGGATCAAATCCATCATAGTAGTGATGTATAATATAATCTGTGGGCTTTGGGTGGTGAGTCTATGATTTCTGGAACCAAGTAAATGTATGGAATGACTGTGGTTTCTCGCCTAGCCCTGCCTCAGTGCCTGCTGTCAATCTGAATCAGTTAAAGGGATGTTAGGCAAAGCCAGTCTGTCCTTTGAATTTTAGATATTACTATTGTTCTTAATTTGTACAATTCTGTGACTCTTTTGTGGAAGAAATTATGAATTACTCATAATTATTTAATTCAAACCTTCTACCAATATTCTGTTCACTGTTTCTAGGGGATTTTGGAGTTAATTGTTTAACTTTAAAAGTTCTAGAAAATTTTTTTAATAATTACTTTTAAAAGGGGGGATGGGGGGATGGGGGTGGGAGGGATATTATCCATGGTGGTGGAGAATGGGCACTGGTGGAGGGATGGGTATCTGATCATTGTATAATTGAAACCAAAGCACAAAAAATTGTAAATCTACAACTTTAAAAAAAAAAATAAAATAAAGGGAAAAAAAATAATTACTTTTAAAATTTGAGGTATATTTGACTCAGAATTATCTGCTAATTGCAAAAGAATTATATGCATAGGGCAGGAGTGATAGTACAGGGTTTAAAGCCCTTCCCTTGCTCATGTTTACCCAGAATACATTCCTGGCACTGTATAAGTACAGATACAGGAATAAGCCCTGGGCACCATGTGGTCCCCAAACCAAAATAAATAAAGTCCCTCTTTAAAAATCTTCATATAATGTACAGTTGTGTAAGTTTTGGTATATCTTTTGACTTGTAAACCTTTACTGCAATCAAGAGTCAACAGATTTACATCATCAAGAGATTTTTTTTCTTTTTTCTTTTGCCTTTTGCTGGAGCGATAGCACAGCGGGTAGGGCGTTCGCCTTACAAGCGGCCAACATGGCCGACCCGAGTTCGATTCCTCCGCCCCTCTCGGAGAGCCCGGCAAGCTACCGAGAGTATTCGATATGCCAGACACAGTAACAACAAAGTCTCCAATGGAGACGTTACTGGGCCCGCTCGAGCAAATCGACGATCAACGGGAGGGCCTTTACCTTTACCTTACCTTTTCTTTTGCCTTTGGGTCCCACTCAGCAGTACTCAGGTTTTACTCCCAACTCTGTGCTCAGGATCACTCCAGGGTGGCCTCAGGGAGCCACGTGGGATGCTGGGACCAAATCTAGGTTTGCTGCATGCAACGCATGTGCCCTACTCACCGTACTCTCTCTAGCCCCAAGAGATTCTTATCCCTTCTTTTGTAATGCTTCCTTCTGCCTTTCTTTGACCACTGATTTTTTTTTTCAAATTAAATCACCATGATATATATAATTACAAAGTTGTTTATGATTGGATTTTGGTCCAACACTTGTTTCTTTACCAGTGTACATTTCCCACAACCAGTGTTCCCAGTTTCCCTTTTTCTACCTCTGACCCCCAGTCTGCCTCTATGGCAGGCATCTCTCTCTCTCTCTCTCTCTCTCTCTCTCTCTCTCTCTCTCTCTCTCTCTCTCTCTTCCCTTTTGG